AATCTGATTGGGACGACAGGAGGGTGCTTCAGTCTGAGGTCAATATAGGTAGTTGAGTCTTTGTAGAAATGAGCTTGGTCACGGTTGAAAACAAATCTTGTTCGTGTTTTACTAGTCCCTGATAAGGAATATGACAATGATAGAGAAACCCAAGTTTTATTTAACATCCCCTAGCTTGAAACCGCGTAGATCATCCATCAGGTGTCAGACTTCCGTCGCTGGCTGAATCAGGATACCTGCGTGCAGGCGAGCCACTGGTCAGGATTCTCACGTAGGCAAGTCCCAGTTCCTCACACTGTACTGGGTTGCTGTTACGGAGCTTGAGTGAAGTTATAGTCCCCCTTAAGTAGATAGAATATGGCTGTGGGTATACTATAATAAGATCCCCATATACCCCATAATCTATCACTTGAGGGGGATTCTACCATAGTGATGATGGTAGCGATTGAAGCTCCTTAAGAGCAACATTTGTCTCATCGCCTTCATAGCAGGGGACTCTGAAAGGAACCCATGGTTGTAGCAAAGCCCTAGGGTTTAGGGTTTAGGGGTTTCAGAACGGGACCCCTCTTCCTTGCATCCGTTTGCTGGAAACTACTCGTTTGGAGGTTTTCGAGTGTTGTTGGGCGGCTTCATGTTACCCTAAACCCTAAACCCTAAACCCTGGAAGGAACCCTGCACAAGATCAGGGGCCACTCCAGCTTTTTAATGACCAACGACCAACGCTTCCCTTGCTCCCTTGTAGGCCAGTATAATTAGCCAGCAAAGTGCGCTGTGCACGTTCTTTGAGTTCCCAAAGAGGGCAGCCAACATGTATACCTAACGTATAGAGATGCCCCCTGGACTCCTAAAACTATGCGTGGCCCAGATGCCAGACCCTAAACCCTATAGCCCCCCTGAAGTATATCATAATAAGATCCCATATATCCCATATTCTAAGGCTCCAAATAGCCCAATGTAGGTCATATATATATATATATATATATATATGGACTTTGGGGCTCAATGTGGGTATTATTTATAGGCATGGAGCCCTAGGGATATTCTATCTACCTAAGGGTGACTACGAGCTTTTGCTTGCCTATGCCTCGCCAGGTACAGGCGGTGGCTCCGGCACCGCTCCACGTTGCACTTCGTCTCCTGCAACCTGAAGCTTGGTTTAGGGTTTAGGGTTTAGGGCTTAGAGTTTAGGGTTTAGGGTTTAAGGTTTAGGGTTTAGGGTTCCCGAAAAGGGAGTTTCCCAAAATCAGGGGCACCTTTTTGGGAGTCCCCATGATAAGGACTGTAGTATTTTGGGGTCTAGATTGGGGTCTCCCTATTTATGGAAACTACCATAACTGGATCTGAAAGTTTAGGGTTTAGGGCCTAATTAGGGTTTAGGGTCCCATTTCAGTTGAGGGTTTAAGTAGGGCTAAGGTTTGCTTAGGCCTTAGGGATAGGCTTCCTTCTCATTCCCGGGTCTAGGTTTAATAGTTTGAAACATCAACATTTTGTGGTTACAAGGCCAATACCTCCTTAAGTATTGGAGTTGTATAGGAACCGTGTGAGACATCCCTTCCCCGCCACAGAACAGCTCTATCAGTAGTGCTTGTGACATTGCTCAGCTTGCTGGTGCTGAAGTGCCTGTGGGGGAGCGAATATATGGACTGCTGTTGGGGATTCTGAGCCATAAGCTCTAAACCCCACCCTAAACCCACAACTCTTAACCCTAAACCCTAAACCACACCCTAAGCCTTGCCCCTTTTTAGGGTTTCTTGTGCGCGTCTTCTTATTCAGCACTTCTTGTTCGCTTCCTGCTGTAAGCAACATCAAAGTCAAAGACAAACGGTTTAGGGCTTAGGGTTTAGGGTTTAAGCCTGAACCCTAAAGGCCCTAAGCTGAAACCCTTGACCCCAAGAGCCTAGACCCTAAATGCCTTAAGCTTTGAACCCTCTACCCCAAAAGCCTAAGCCCTAAAACCGTGCCTTAACCCGAGGAGCAAAAGTGGCGGGCAAACCTGGTCCGAGGCGCTGCAGGTGCCAGGGGTTTAGGGTTTAGGGTTTAGGGTTCTGGATATTGCCACCTTTTAGCATTCACTGTATGTACTATAGTCTAAACTCCTTAAAAGGGGGTTATCTAGGGGATTATATAGGGGACGACTATAGGGGCTATTCAGGGGGGTACTAGAAGTTTAGACTATAGCTCATAATACATGAGGGGGGCTCCAGAAACTCGGGTCCCTAAGGATCTTTGGGTAGTCAATGGGTTTAGGGTTTAGGGTTGGACTCCAAAAGTTGTTGAAAATTGGTGTATCTGATGTCTGCCTGATGTGGGTGAGATTTGCAATAGGCGCATCTGCAGTTGCTACCATCTTGCTATGCTGGATGGAGGAGATCTTGCAGAGCTTAGGAGTTCCGCAGTACTGTAACTCTTTGGGTCTCGGGAATATAATGTGGGCAAGATGCCCTCCTTCTGGAAGCTGAAGGTTCAGTTGGCCTGGATGCGCAACGCCCACCTTTTGGCGTTCAGGGGCTGCATGCACTCTACGTAGGCTGTAGGCGTGTATCTCGCCCCTTTTGCTACCAGACTTCTGTGTTGAAAGTGATTATGCATGTAGAACGCTTTGCGTAAGGAAGGGTGAGTATGAGCTACGTGGTCGGCAGTGCCTTTTGGAGCTCTTTTGTGGCAAGCCAAAAGGATCTGCAAGAATCATCACAGTAAATCATATTTGGAGGCTATGGGCACAGTGCCTCTTGGCGCACGACAAAAGTTTGGTAGAAGAATGTGGAGCAAGATGTTTTGCAACTGTTTGCTGTATTTTCTCTGCAGAGAATAATCTTCAGTCCCTTCGCTGCGCAACAAGTTATTCAGGGCTAGTGATTAATGCTGTTACGTGCTCATTTTTGGGTAGAGTCCCGAAGCTTCTAGGTGTGTGTCCTCTTGGTAAGGTCCCCTGTTGACTTCAGGTGTTGAAGTTTAACAGTCCGAAGAGGAAGCTAAACACTAGGACCTGCAAAGCGGCCAAGCCGGGGCACAGACTGTAGAAGCCTAAACAATCACCAACCTTGTGGTCGTAGACTCCTACGTTATGGGGTACCTCAAACGAACTTCACCATGATATTGGTAATTATTTAGGCCCCTACATGACAGACTTGTAGGCGTCAAGTGTTGCTTGGTATGTTGGGTATCCAACTTCCCCAAATGCAGGCCATAGTCTCAGAGCCTCTTTGGAGGTTGGTCCAAGTTGTGGTCCTTTTGTGTGGCACCCCAAGTACTAAGGGTTGTATTCCCCTACAAGAGACCATCATGTTTGGCAGCCTACCAAGTCTTTGTATACTTGGTGAGAGTGCCCTAAACCCGAATTCTTGCTTTGGTGTGCTAAATGCGCAATGCCCTGCAACATCAACTATGTCATGACAGCTGGAAAAGGAAGCCCTACATTTCGAAACCTAGGCGACCAGTTCCGAAGCTTGAAGGGCCTCTGGGTTCATGGCAGTTATGTAATTGAGAGAATCTGGAGTGTTTAGCTGGTTCGCAGCTCTTTACAAGGCCTACACTGCACCGTTTTTGAATTCTCACGCTCTTGGTTCCAATCCTTCAGTCACGATTAGACGACGCTTGAACCGCTACGTCTTTCATGGCCGTGCAGACCTTGGGGTAGGTGACGCCAGTACACTCAAGACATCTCAAGATCCCATACATTGACCGTCCGCCTTCTGGCTGGCGGTGCTCCATATGGGGTGTTCTGAAGTGGCATGAGGCAGACGTCTGTTCCTTCCTGCGAAATGCACTCATCTGCCTGACACTGACAAGGTTATTATTAAGCTGGTCACGTTATAATTGTTTCCAATTTTTCGAGGAAGCAGCAACAAAGGCACGCAAGTGCTTCTGCATCGGCTTGCGCGTACGAACTCCTTTCCAAGACAAAGCACAAGTCATACCACAGGCTTCGCTCCAAAGGTAGTGCAGCGTCAGTATCAGTGAATCCACAACAAGACGATACCTCGTCGGTGAAACTCAAATCTTGGTGGAACTCCACAGAGAAGCTGTCAAACAACGGCATGAGGCAGGTATCAGCATTGAGTTCAGAGAAGTCCTCGAGTTCATCTAGTGCATGACTTCCCTTCGGTGTTGCTCCTGAAGTCGGTCTGTGAACAATGCAACCGGCTGGGAACTAAAGTCCTGAAGCTAGCTCCGGAAAAATGCCAGCAAAACTCCAGCCGAGGCTGCCAATGGAGAAGTCCTTAGGGTTAAAAGATCTTAAAAGCATACTGATGAATAATGCATAATAGCCTGTCCTCAGCATGTCAGCCAAACGTATCCTAAGCTTCAAGTTGGATCTGGCGTGCATGACACCAAGCCAGCAGTGTAGTTCAACCTGCTACAGCCCCTTCGCTTATGTGGTGGTCCTTGATGGCCTGTTCTTTTAATCTCCAGCTTGGCAAGCAGTTCAACCAAAGGCATAGAGCAAAAACACCTTGGCCTGCCAGGACCACTTCAAGTATCTTTTGCTGGACATTGTCCAAGCATTCAGTGTTCAAGAGGGAAAAATCGCATCCATTGTAGCAAAGTGCTCCAAGCCCCCCCTTGGCCCAAAAGTGTTTGGGACCGAGCCAGCGAAGTCAAAGAAGGAGCCACCACTTGTTCAAGTAATAGTAATAGTGATAGTAATAGTAGTAGTAGTAGTAGTAGCAGTAGTTATAGGACAACAACACTGCAGCAACCCTGAGGCCATCATGTGGCCTGAAAGGGCGACTGCATTTGGGAGATTGTCAAAATTATGGTCCCTTTTTGGGTCCCCTAAATTAGGCCCCGTATTAGGCCCCGTATTATAATAGGGACCCAAAAAGGGACCATAATTTTGACAATCCCCCATTTGATTTAACTTCAACCGGGTCAGCGGCCTCGTGGGTGGCCACAACATGGCCGTAAGAGGTAGCCCTGAAGTGGCCACGAGTGGCCCAAGATGAGTGTAATTCAAAAGCCTAGCGGCCTAGCCGTCCCTTCGGAGTCCTTCGCGTGCGATGGCGTTGCGCCTTTTTGTGTTGGCAGTGACGCCTGGGATCATTTCTCAGCATCGCGCATGTGCAGATGTCACAACAAGATGCAAGTCTGAGTCCCGAGGGAAGGAAAGCGCATGCGATGTCGCAGAACCAACTGCGTTGCTGCAGCATCCTCGCCCGACGCAGATGGTGGAAGCCAGACCTGCCAGTCTTCAAGAAATCGAAAAGGCTAAGCTGAAGCTGGATGGTGCGAAGGCTGTGGTGGACGTTGACCTCAGCAGCAACCCGGCATTCGTACTGAATCTGGACCGCCGGACGGACCGCTTGGCAAATTTTTCTCAGATCTTGTATGAGCAGGCGCCATGGCTCCAGAAGATCACCTGCCGTGTGGCTGCGCCCGACGGCAAGGCCTTCGGTGATCACCTGAAGGAGTCTTTGATTCCGCGCCCGTTTTGGCAGTCTGCCATCTTCCGCGACCAGAATCAGCTCTATACACATGGTGGGGCATTGACCAAAGGTGGAGTGGCCTTGACTATGGGTCATGCAATAATGTGGGAGCACCTGCTGCAGACCCAGGCCCCATGGGGAATCTTCATGGAGGATGACCTCATGCACGTCCATCCAGACTTGGGTTCACTGCTGCAGAAGCTGGGAAATTCCCTTCCTGCGCCAGGGCATGATTGGGACCTCCTTCAAATTCAGGGCGGAGAATGTCTGAGCAGCTCATTCTCAACTCCCATGCACATCGTGAATGGAACTGGCTACAATTTGGGCATGTACATCCTCACGCGCGAGGGCGCGCAAAATGCCATTGAGGCTGTTTTTCTCATGATGAGCGGCCAGTTGGACAATCCAGATGGTTTTCTCCGTAGCCGTTGCCGGGCCCATCAAGTCTGTCCTGTCCCGGCAGCGCAAGGAGGAGCACGTAAGGACACCGATGTGCAGATCATTCCGAAGGCAGTAAAACTGCTGGACGAACCCCTGATTCACGATTGCCCTTTGCTGGAAGTTGGCCAGATGCTGAAGCCTGACCTCATCTCTCCTGAGGAATCCGGGACGGCCTGACCATTGGAAGTGGATGTGTGGGGAATCTGTTTGGGACGTGCAGTGGCAACGGTGCTGCCTAAGGTACATGTCAGCAGATGTGGACAGTAATTACACTCTTGATCAGTTTGCGTGCGCAGAGAACGAGACCATAAGTGTCTCAGATCCGAAGAGCTCGCAGCCAGTGAAAACCGGGCGATGCTGGGTACGTTTAGGGTTTAGGGTTTAGGGTATGTGGCCCCGCTAGACATACCTTGCCCAGTCAGGGTTTCAGCTTGAATCCAAGCCAGGCGTTCCACAAGGCCAAGCATTCCATGCTGCTTGGCTGCTGAGATGTTCGCGAGTGGGAGTGGGTTTAGGGTTCTCCTAAGTCCTGTACACCTTAACCCGCGTCAGTCATAATCTTATAAAAAACCAGACAATTTCCCCGAACTTGCCATCAATCCCGCAGCGCCAGGAGTCGACTCCCCAAGCTCACCCTTTGAGTTCAGCCTTAAACTAGATAGTTCCATTATATGAATGGCAGACACATTGCCCAAACCCCCCATATTCAATATTCCCCACGAAAGACCTTATGAATTGTGGGAGATATTTGATATTTAATAGGGGTGGGCGGGTGATTCATATTAGTATGAAGGATTACTAGCCAAGGGATTTGGGGATTAAACCCTAAACCCAAAACCCTAAACCCTAAACCCTAAATCCTTATCTTTGAATCCTTAACCCCGCAAGCCAACAAGCCAACACCATGATGGGTCTCCACAAAAAAACCACCACTACAGTTTAGGGTTTTGGGTTTTGGGGTTTAGGGTTGTCCTAAACCCTCTGTAGAGACCCCGAAGCCCAGGAAGGCCAAGATGCAGATGCAGATGTACTGTATCGGTCCCATGGCAAAGGACCACGTGGGCCGCAGTGTTGCTACCTACGGTTTAGGGCGTAGAAGGATTTAGGCTTTGGGGTTACGGATTTGGGGTTCTGAGTTCGGGATTGTGGGATTGGCAAAGTTTGGGGGGTTTTGGGTTCACGATATTAGGTTGAGGGCTTGGCAGTACTATGCAATAGATGCAGAATAAAATGAAACACGGGCACGGAAACCGTCATGGTACAGGGCTTCATAAAGAGGAGGCAATAGTTACCAACACGATGGTTCTAGGCTCCTTGGAAATTGTGGTATCTCATGCCTCAGGTATACCTCAATATGATCCTGCTATTCATTCAGGCCACTGTACGAGTATGGTTTTGGAGTTGTTCGGTTCAGGCGTGTGAGGTTAGTGCCCACAACCCTAAGCCTTGAACCATAAGTAGTCTCACACGCTAGATGTTACCCCCTAGTAGGAACATAACTCAGCTGGCATGAAACACGATCCGGACAACAGCTAGAAGCCCTAATTCCTAAACCAAATCCCCAACCAGCGCCTAACCCTGGACCATCAGTATTTACCCTTCAAGCCCTGAAGTCCTAAAGCCTGCCGCCCGAACTTAGCGGGAATTTGCCCATACCCTACTATGCAATGGGGAGTAGAAGACTCTAGCCAAGGAAGTCAGAAGTCAGAGCTTTACTTGAGAGTGTACTGGAGGGTCCTGAATCATTAGACGCGGGGCCTTGCATATGTGAGCATTGTCAGGGGATTAATCCACGCTCCTGATTTATACGGGCCCCTTCCCCCCCCTAGATTAAGTACCCGGGGCCATAATACTAGGGGAACCAGATGCAATTGAAAATCTAATTACAACCCATAAAATCAGAGTGGGCTCCAAGCAAAATCAGTGGAAATCCAAGCAAAATCCATTGACACCTGATTGGATTCCAAGTAACATTAAAAGAAATCCAATTACAATCCATTGAAACCTGATTGGTCTCGAAGTAAAATCAATAGACATCTGATTAAAGTCCATTGGAGTCTGATTGGACTCCACGTAAAATCAATAGACATCTAAGTAATATCCATTGACATCTGATTGTCCCTCTATGCTTCTCAAATTGTTGGATGCCATTAGTATTGAGGCTTGTTTGAGCAAGGCTGCCTTCTTCTAGGTTTCCAGCAAAAATTCTGTCATTTTCCTTTGAAATTCATGCAGCAGCAACCATAAGGGGTAACTCGGGAAGCAATCTTTGGCCCTGAAACTCATGGATTTTAGTAAGCAACTCCGATTTCAAAACCCTTTGTGCTTCTCAAATTTTGGGATGCAGCGTACTTGTTGAGGGGTAGAGTTAGTAGGTCTTTCTAATACTCTCCTAGAACTATAGAACAGGTTTTAGGTTTGATTTGGGTACAGGACCTCAGATTTAGGTTTCAAGTTTAAGTTCTAGAGTTCAAACTTACCTGGAGCCTTACTTTCTTAGGGTCTGGAATGTTTCCTTTGAATATAGCAGGTTTTGGCCCAAAGAGCCTCTGCCCTCAACTTGTCTTCTACCCCAAATTTGGCCAACAAGATTTTCAAATCTAGAGAGAGCTTATCCATCGGGAGCGTGGATTACATTACTGCGCTACCTAGACCCTAAGCCCTAAACTGTCTCCATAGCCTAGAGGCCAGGCTTTTGCGAGGGGCTTGGGTTCGTCTTTAGGTCTTTTGGGCCGGGTTCCACGGGTGTTGCTTTTACACTTTTGGGGCGTTAAGCTTTCTGAAGTTTGGGTTCTCAGGCTTTTAGGGTTCGAGGGCTTTCAGGAGTTTAGGGTTTTAGGGGTTCAGTTTTTAGAGTTTTGCATGTGAGAACGCCGAACTTAGCCTTAGGTGGGCCGGCGCTCGGTTTGTTTACGGGGTCAGGTGCCTTGCATCCTTTACTTTATTTGGTGCACTGCTTGTCCAGCTTTAAAGGGCACAAATTTGCCATAGCCAGCCTCAGGCACCTTTTGGCCCCCAGGTACAAGCTTGGCCCGTTGGTTATTGAAATCATTCCTCGAAGAGCCACTGCCGGCACAGGAGGTCAAGGAGTATCGCATTTTCGAGCACATGAAGGCTGCAAGTTGGTTTTAGGATTTTTTTCTGGTTTGGGCTTTAGGGGTTAAGGATGTGGGGCTCGAAGGTGTTTGTCAAAACCCGTGTCCAACTTCATGAGCAGAATCTTTGTGAAATCACAGTGGCTGTGAGTTATCACGGCAATCAGGTCTCGAGGCTGTGATTACCCCGGTCTCTTGCCTTTTTGGTAATGATGATGGCTGCTGGTGGCCGTGGTTGTGGTGGAGGAACAATGGTAGTAGCAGCCAGCAGACGCAGTCACAGTCGCGGCCCGGAAACAAGCTGACGCAGGCGCTTGGTGACATGGTCTGGGAATTTCTGGGGCTGGCCTTGTGCTCAGCTTGGGATTCACTGTAGGGGCTAAGGCGGCTAAGCTTCACAGATTCGGCGCGATAGGGCCTGAATGTTCACCTCGGTTCGGGTTTCAGCCATTTTTTTTGGCTGGGTGTGGCTTTTTTCAGATAGTCTAGCACAATGTATCTTGTTTAAGCGACCTGGTGCAACTGATGGCCACAGCTTGACAATGACAACGTGTGCAACCTGTGAGTGTGGAATCCATCAGTGCCTATAATTTGACTTCAGCAGCTACACGAACATAGGTTGCAGCATATGAGCCATAATCTAAACTCCTAGTATCCCCCTCTAGCCTCTACAATACTCCCCGATATAATCCCCTGTATAGCCCCCTTTAAGGAGTTTAGACCAAAGCTCATATGTGGCTCAGCAGTCATGATGTCGCAGCTGATAGGGGTCGGCTTCAGTGCTCAGGGAAATCACTCTGGTAGCAGGGCTGGAATGGTGGGTCTCACCTCTGACAAGATAACCGAAGCTGTCAGCGCAACAGAAGGCAGATCATGTATATCCCTCAATGAAAGACCGTACCTTTATCTTATCATATCCAGCACAGTTAAAGGCATATTTCTTGAAATTTGAGACCCTGAACCCTAAACCGACTCAGCACCTCCCATCCCCTACTCATACCGAACATCTGTATCTGGACGAGTTACAGCGAGCTGCAGCGGGCTTACGATTGATTGTAATTACTCACGCGGTTTATGTTTTAGGGTTTAGGGTAGTTATAGTCACCCTTGAGTAGATAGAATATTGAATTGCCCAATATCATAATAAGATCATCATATGCCCCATCGGAAATGCAAAGCAAATGTTGTGTAGTATATCTACCCACATTACAAGCCCTGATGCTTCCCAGGCTGTGACGTTCGCGACGGCCTGCTGGATCTATCCTTATAGCTTCCTGGGGCAGGTAAAGCCGCTCTCGGAGGACCTCCTTAGGGTTTAGAGGCTTCGGGCAAAAGAGTATGGATGACTACTGGCATTGGGCCACGGGATTTCAGGCTTAAGATTTAGGATATAGGAGCTGATACAGGGATACATGTCTGAAGTTCCTGGGTCCCTTCTACTAAGAGAGCGAGATGCACGGGAATCTCCAACGCTTTCAGACCTTGGTCACTGGGATGGGCGCTTTTGAGGCGCCATCTTCGTGACTGTCGTCACTTTTGGCGTCTGGCTGGTCTACAAGACTTCGCAAATGCCAACACTTGCAGGTACGGGGTTGTTTGGGGCACGGTTCTTGTGTCTGTGGTCGAAGACTTCCGTAAACCCCTAAACCCGTTCCAAGTCCCCTTAAAGAGTCTAGATTTCCTCCAAAACCCCCAGCAAGCTAAGAAACCACTCATGAGCAATGATAATCTATCTCTAGATCTACACATCGGCAAGTAATCCTGGCAAATCCATTTGAATATCTTGTGTCATCCCCATGCCATATATCAACTTACACATACCATCGTATTTCCTGAAATTTCCCAGCCACCCACACAGATATGAGGGATGGGGGACGACCCACATGAAGACCTCATATCATCCTTGAAAATCCTGCCTTACCCCCGGCCCTCACAGCCTCACAGCACCAATACAGGCAGAAGGGAGGCAGAAGGGAGGGAACTCTTGTCCCATGGTGGAAGGCCTTCGGGGTTAAAATTGGTCCAGTCTGGGGTCTGCATGGGAGGGACGCGGACACTTTTTAGCCTGGAATCCCAAATTCC